AAAAGGCAAGGGATTAAGCACATTTTGTTTTGGGGGGGGGGGGGGGGGGCTCATGCAAATGAAGATTAGGGGAAATAATAGAGGGAGGCAGAAAAGCGGAGAGGAGGCCTTCTGCGACTTGAGAAGGAGTGAAAGAGTTCTTTTTTTTTTTTTTTTTGTCTTTCGGAATTAGTCGCCCGCGTGCGCGCGCGCGCGTGCGAGCTGGCAGATGGCCTGGAAACAGGCTGGTCGCCGCGCGACACCGAGACGACGGAAAAAACTGCTTCCCGATGACTCGCTGGTCCGACGCGTCAAAGCAAGCTGACTCGTCAGCGGCCCGGTGGGGGGGCGCTTCTTTACTCGCCCTCATGAGGAGGCCAACGGCCTCCGAGGCCGCCCGTGTTCCATCGCGCGACGACTACGGCGACGCAGCCCGACTATCAACTCGGCCAAAGTGCGCGCACGGCGGCGGCGCGGGCACGTTAAAGGCCCGGATGTGCCCGGATTAAAATGGCGCCGGCATTCGGGTGGAACGCCAAACCGGCGAGGAAGGATATCGTAAGAACGCGTCGTCGGGAGCCGGTCAAGAGAGAGAGAGAGAGAAAAAAAGGAAGCCTTCATTTCGACCCCCCCCCCCGACTATCAACTCGGCCAAAGTGCGCGCACGGCGGCGGCGCGGGCACGTTAAAGGCCCGGATGTGCCCGGATTAAAATGGCGCCGGCATTCGGGTGGAACGCCAAACCGGCGAGGAAGGATATCGTAAGAACGCGTCGTCGGGAGCCGGTCAAGAGAGAGAGAGAGAGAAAAAAAGGAAGCCTTCATTTCGACCCCCCCCATCGACTGCGGGGAGGTAATAAAGACAAGTGATGAGGTGCGAGCGTGCCTCCGCTGCCCCGAAGAACCTACCTGGGAAGTGGACGATGAGCCACTTTGCATTCCAACAAGGTCCACGACTAATGAGCTCAATAAAAAGGTCGAGGTTTGAGGATGATCACCAGCCTTGGGAGCATTTTAAAAGCCGTGCCCTCCAGAAACTGAACATTCTATTGCGATGAGAAAGGCAAAGGAGAGTGCCCCCCCCCCCCGGCGGCACACAGGGGGAAACGCTTTAAC